CAAGCAAAAGCAAAAGCAAAGGCAAAAGTGAAGGCAAAAGCGAAGGCAAAGCAATATGATTGCATAGCATAGCATAGCGCAGCATAGCATAGCGCAGCATAGCATAGCATAACATTGCCTAGCCTAGCCTAGCCTAGCCCAGCATATCATTGCGCAGCATAGCATAGCATAGCATAGCATAGCATAGCAGAGCAGAGCAGAGCATGGCATAGCATAGCCTAGCGCAGCACAGCACCCACTATTGCTGCTGCTGCTGCTGCTATATATATATATATACTTATGTGTGTGTGTGCGCACATATGTTCCATGCATGTTGTCCGTCAGTGGGCCATCTTGAACCCTTAGTGGGGCAGCTTGAGCCCTTAGGATTCACGAAGTTTTCGCACATAGCACCGGCCCGGAGACATGAAACCCGACGTATTATCGCATGTCCTAAATGTCTTTCTATATATGCAAATGTATGTGTATATATACATAACACCCATGTGTAATGGTGCATGTGTGTGTGCGTGTGTATGCATGTATTTGTTCAGCACCGCGCCGTAATGCCTTTCATCCTCGTTGCCGTTCAGCTTCAATTCCGCGACTCGCAGAGCCACGCAAGAGCGTGCAGCAGTGTATTGCGTCTTGCGGGCATTCTTACGGACCTCGAGTGGCGAGGCACGAGACCCAGCAAGCAGTGTTGAGCATCCTGCAGAGAACAATGTTCCAAGTCGTGCGGTGTAGGCCGGATCTGGAGCATTTTCAAGCACACCCGGTGAGCGAATGCAGAAACATGCGTGTGTGTGTGTGTCTGTGCGCAGGCAAAGCAAAAGCAAAACCAAACAAAAACAACAACAAAAGCAAAGCAAACGCAACAGCAACAACAAACACAAAAGCAAAGGCAAAGGCAAAAACAAAGGCAAGAGCAAAAGCAAAGGCAATGCAAAGCAACAACAAAACCAATGCGAACATGTAGATGTAGATGTAGGTGTAGGTGTAGATGTGGATGTAGATGTAGGTTTATATGTAGATGTAGATGTAAATGTAAATGTAGGTGTAGATGTATATGTAGATGTGAGTCTCGCTGTTGATGTATGTGTAGATGTATATGCAGGTGTGGATGTAGATGTAGCTGTAGGTGTAGATGTAGATACAGGTCCAGATGTCGATGTAGGTGTCGATGTATATGTAGGTGTTAATCTTGATGTAGATGTGAAGAACCCCCAGTGCCCCGCCCTCGTCTTGCTGCCTGCTTCTGCTGTTGCTTCACTTGCGGCGTGGCGTTGGCGGTTCTGGCGCTACTACTACTACTACTACTACTGCTACTACTACTACTACTACTACTACTACTACTACTAATACTACTACTACTACTACTACTACTACTACTACTACTACTACTACTACTACTACTACTACACTACCACTACTACTACTACTACTACTACTACTACTACTACTACTACTACTACTACTACTACTACTACGCTGCTGCTACTACTGTACTACTACCACTACTACTACTTTTACTACTACTACTACTACTCTACTACTCCTACCACTACTACTACTACTTCTACCACTACTACTCCTACTCTACTACTCCTACTCTACTACTTTTACTACTCTACTACCACTCCTACTACTTCTACCACTACTACTCCTACTCTACTACTACTACTACTACTACTACTACTACTACTACTACTACTACTACTACTACAACTACTACTACTACTACTACTACTACTACTACTACTACTACTACTACTACTACTACTCTACTACTACCACTACTTTGCCACTACTACTACTCCTACTACTACTACTCCTACTTCTACCACTACTCTACCATTACTACTACTACTCTACGACTACTACTTCTACCACTTCTACTCCTACTCTACTACTCGTACTCTACTACTACTACCACTACTACTACTCCTCTACTACTACTACTATTATTATTACTATATTACTACTACTACTACCACTACTACTACTACTACTACTACTTCTTCTACCATCACTACTGCTGCTACTACTACTAGTACTACTACTACTACTCCTACTACTACTACTACTACTACTACTACTACTACTTTTATTACTACTATTATTACTACTACTACTGCTGCTACTGCTGCTGCTACTACTACTACTACTGCTACTTACTACAACAACTACTACTACTGTTGCTTTCCTAGGGGCTCCAACTCCTAGGTAGGGTCGCATTGGGATAATTTGATACTCCCTCCCCGGCCTCCAAGGGGCCCCAAGACGCCCGGGAGGCGTCCAAGACGGCCCCGAGGGGCCCCCAAAAATGGTCCAAGAGGGCCCCGAGTCGGCCAAACATCGCTCGAAGACGCCTGCCCCCAAGGGGCCCCGAGAAGCCCCGAGACGCCCCCCCAAATAAACATCAAAGGGGTGCGGAAACCCGAGAGATTTCCAAGAGGCCCTCAGGAGGCACGACTTTGTTTCTCGCCTGTGCTTGAGAGCGCTGGCCAAGATCTTCCACTGCCCCCCCCCAGCCTGGGCTAGAACCTGAGCGCGCGCGAAGTGCGCGCGATGGTTCTAGTATATACCTAGACGACCACCCTTCGGGTGATAAGGAGGTTGTGTGGGGGGGGGGAGAGGGGGGGGAACCGACGCCTGATTCAATCGATCTCACTATCGATCTCACTCAACGGGACACCACGGGACACCGCGGGACACCACGGGACACCATCGGACACTTGTCGATCTCAATATCGATCTCGCTCAACGGGACACCACGGGACACCGCGGGAGACTTCTCGATCTCACTATCGGTCTCACTATCGATCTCACTAACGATCTCACTCAACGGGACACCACGGGACACCACGGGACACCACATGGATCTCACTATCGATTTCAGTGTCGATCTCAGCCATAATCGATCTCAGTATCGACCTCACTTTTTGGGGGCACCACGGGACGCCACGTGACACCTTGGGGCACCGCCTCGATTTCAATATCGATGTCAGTAGGGATCGCACTATCGATCTCACTAGCGATCTCACTATCGATCTCATTATCGATCTTACTAGCGATCTCATGCGACGGGACACCACGGGACACCACGGGACACCGCGGGACACCGCGGGCCACCGCCGGTCGGAAGGCGGACGCACTGAAGGCTGAAAAACAACATTTGTCTTGGTTTTGCCTTACCAGCGGCGTGTTCATTCATCCCAACGGGACACCACGGGACACCACGGGACGCCACGGGACACCACGGGACACCGCGGGCCTCTGCCAGACGGAAGGTGGACGGACGGAAGGCGGAGGAACAACATTTGTCTTCACTTTGCCTTAGCGGTGCTGGTCTATTCCTGTCGCGCGCCCACGCAGCTTCGCTTTGCCCGCACACGCGACATGAACGAAACGAAACAATATGGGTGGGGTCTCCGTTCCAATGCGAACTCACCCCCAGGCGCCGATGTATATGTGCATGTTCTTTTTCTATGTATATGTATATGTTTATGTATTTGTATATGCATAGGTCTATGTATATATATATATATTTATATATATATGTATTTGTATTGGTATTTGTAGTTGATGTTGTATTTGTATGTGTGTCGGTGTATTTTTGTTGTGTGTATGGAAATGTATATGTGCATATATATATATGCATGTATATATGTGTTATACATATGTATATGTATACGTATCTATACATATATATATATATATATATATATATGTATGTGTATATGTTTATGTATACGTATATGTAAATGTATGTTTATGCCCACATATATCTGTACTTGTATCTCGATAATTATTCATTTATCGAGAGCGATCTAACGAGAACGCGATACATATAGATAACGAACTATAGAGAGTATAGCGAAGTCCAACAAGACAGCCGACCACCACACACACCCATATATAGATATATATATATATCTACAAATATGTTTGTATTGTTTTCGTCATTGCGGTTGATACAGTGTGAGCATCCTGACCTGCAACATTATCATCATTGAGCTACCCAAGAAGTCAGTCAGGGTGTACGTTCCTGGTCGTCTTTCCAGAGCAGAGCGTGTGGGGCAGCTTTTGGGAGCGCCCGCATGCGTCGAAACGAGTAATCCGTCTTCTGGGAACCAATCCCTTCTGGCAACTTCGAGGGGAGACGGAGGGGTGGATGGAATGGAGAGGGAAAGAGGGAAGGGGGCCTGTCGAAGAACAAACGGCGCATTCATTATCTATTGGTCGTCCGCGTGGATTTCTTCAGTCGGTGCTGGACCCACTGGTGGCGCCTCGAGCGCCGCCGCTCGCGCGCATTGCCGACCTTCGTAAGTTTGTGTTCGTGGACAGCAAGTACACAGTCTCGTGTTGACGCTTGGTGTTCATGCAACGGAAGCCACAAGCTTAGTTTCGTTTCAGCGACGCCTCGTTTCAATGCAGCGATAGCCATCGTCTTCCCAATCTGATGGACTTTGTGTCCCATGCGCATGCTCTCTGAGAGGGCCGCCCTTCGGAGCTGGAATGCGGTCTTGCCTGCCCGCTCGAATGCCGTATTTCTCGGGGGCGGACAGAACCCCCAACAGTGACACGCCGATTAGTGAATTGTCCGTTTTCGGTTCTCGAGAGGGCGCCGTGGCCGTCATTTTCCAGGCTTGCGCCCGCCAGGTTTGGACCTCAGGTCGTTTTCACTAAACCACGTTTTACTAAAGGGGGGTCTGTCCGTCCCCGAATTTCGTTTCCCTGGAACAGGATGTAGGGAGGAGAAGTCAGGATAGGCTGCACAGCTCCCCGTGCACAGTGGGGGGCTTCGACCCTTTTCTGCAGACTGCTTTCTGTTGAGGCTTCACTCCCCTGTCCTGGGACCGCGCTGTCTTACGGTTCGCTGTCCTGCCAGAGCCGATGAATTCTGCTTGCAGTCCATTCTTTGCCATTCAGTGGAAGGACAGGGCAGGGGGAAGTAGGACAGGAGGGCGGGAGTGGCCTTGCGTGGCGTTCCCTCGCCGCCTCGTGGGTGAACGCAGGTCACGCCGGTGGCCCGGAACGCCCTCATGAGGTTTAAGGTTCCCCACCGACGCACGCTGCCAGCTGCTCTCTTTCAGTCTGCGCATCCTCCTCCCGCCTCTTCTCGCTCCTCCCCCTCTCCTTTTATCCCTTCTTGTTTCCTCCCTCCTCTGTCTCCCCTTTGCCCTCCTGCTCCGTCTCATCCTCCGTCCTCTGTCCGTCTCTTCGTCCCGTCCGCCTTGTCGTCGTCGTTCGTCTCCTGGTCTTTCTCGTTCTCCTCGTCTTCCTTGCTCCTCATTTCGGGTGCGAGCCCGAAATGTCTGGCTGCAGCTTCGTGGCAGCACCGCTCAACGATATGCTGCGTACCTTACATCGCAGGGTGGGCTAGTTCCCAAATCCGAGCTTTGGTTTGAACGTTAGAGCATGCCTCGTCGTCGTCGTCGTCGTCGTCGTCGTCGTGGTCGTCGTCGTGGTCGTCGTCGTGGTCGTGGTCGCGGTCGGTGTTGCTCTGCCTGGAACTTGTTTCATGTCTGCAGTGGCCACTGCCCGATAATATAATTTTCCCTTCGCCCCTCTTTATCTCTCTGCAGGCCTCACATCCGCTTCCTTGTGTGCCTTGCCCATTGTCCTCCCAGACGAGCGGCCTCTGATGCTGCTCTGCAGGTGCTCGACTTCCCAGGCTCGATGTCGTTCGACGAGTCATCCGAGGGCTGGTTCACGAAGACAGGTGCAGTAGTGTTTGTGATCGACGCCCAGGAGGGGCTTGGGGGGGGGGGACACGCGGACGATGGGGAGAACGTTGTTGTTGCTGCTGTTGTTGTTGCTGTTGTTGTAAGTGATGATGGTGGTGGTGGTGATGATGATGGCGATGATGAGGATGGTGGTGATGGTGGTGGCGGTAATCATGATGATGCTGCTGCTGCTAATGATGATGATGATGATGATGATGATGATGATGATGAGGATGGTGGTGCTGGTGGTGGCGGTGATGATGATTCTGATGATGATGCTGATGATGATGATGATGATGCTGCTGATGATGATGATGATGTTGATATGAAAATGAAGATGATGACGATGAGGGTAATAACGATGGCGATGATGATCATTTGGTGATGACAGTAATCATGCATAATAATTTGTCACCGTCGCCTTGTGTGAAGTCCTGTCCCTCTGGCTGGCGCTGCGCTGCAATGTTGCAGCCTGGCTTGTGGTCTCCACGTTCGAGCATGGGACACGGTCTCGAGCGCAACGGGGGCTCGCCCTGTTCACCTGTACTCTCCACCTCTTGCGTGCCAGGACCAAGACCATGCCCGCACTCTCCGCCTGCTGCTGCCGTGTCACGGCCAACACCAGCTCGCACTCTCCGGCTGCTGTTGACGCGCAACGGCCAAGCCAGACAGCTCCAGCCGGCAGCACTGCCAGGGCTGCAAGTCCCGAGCCCCCGGGAGGGTGCCGCGGCCCGCGAGCAGGCGGGCCCGCTTTCCCGAGCGCGACGGCGCCGCGTGCGTCGGCCGGGCCGCCATCGGGGGCGGAGACGAGTCGCGCTGCCAAGCCAGACAGCTCCAGCCGGCAGCACTGCCAGGGCCTGTAAGTCCCGAGCCCCCGGGAGGGTGCCGCGGCCCGCGAGCAGGCGGGCCCGCTTTCCCGAGCGCGACGGCGCCGCGTGCGTCGTCCGGGCCGCCATCGGGGGCGCGGAGACGAGTCGCGCTTCGCGCGTCTTGGCCTGGACCGCAGATATTCTGGGAGTGAGAGGTTCTGTATTTACATGTCTATACAGTTTTTGTACAACATTTAGAGTATATTCATATACGAGCACGAGCACGAGCACGAAGCCATGCGCTGTCAGGCGCGTAGGCGGGAAAAGTCTGAATTCAAGCTCTCGCAGCCAGTGCGCCTGCTAAACAGGACAATAGGAGGAGGAGGAGGAGGAGGAGGAGGAGGAGGAGGAGGAGGAGGAGGAGGAGGAGGACTGAGGAGGAGGAGGAGGACGAGTAGGAGGAGGACGAGGACGAGGAGGAGGAGGAGGAGGAGGAGGAGGAGGAGGAGGAGGAAAAGGAGGAGGAGGAGGAGGAGAGAGAGAGAGAGAGAGAGAGAGTACAACGAACACATGCATTGCATTCGCAGTGCGGTGCCCTCCGGCCAGGGCGCTTGGGCCGAGCCAAAAAGGCGGTTCACCTCTACTCTTCGTTTGGAGCCTTTTCCCGACTGCGAATAAGCTTCAGAACGATCATTTCCCATTTCTGAGGGTCGCGTATGTGTTCCATGAGATTTGCTTCTGTGGTGAAGGATGCAGATACGATCTCGTGCAAACACTTGGCCCATTCGTTACTCGGTCTCCCCCTCCTCCGCTTGAGCAAGGACGTGGCGGAGAGGACGTGAAGTGTATTCATATAGATATTCGATAATAAAGATGTGTATATCTGTAAAGAGAGATAGAGAAAACACAAAAGCGAGCTGCCCTTCTCCAAGGGCCGCAAAGATGCGCGAGATGCGTCGCGCGTCGCAGGGCGCGAGGCGCGGAGGCGGGCCGGCCGGGCCGAGCAGGGCGCTCGTCTTGCGGCGGCGGCTGCCAGCTCGCGCACCTCTGCCTGGGTGCGCAGGCGTCGCCGCAAGCGTCGGCGCCCCCTGTCTGATGGGCCTGCTTTCTTCCACCACCACAACAAGTTGGAGGGGGGAGGGGGTCCTCCTCCCCCTCTTCTTCCTTCTCCTGCTCCTCATCCTCCACCTCCTTCCCCCCTCCAACTTATGGTGGTGGTGGTGGTGGAAAAAGGGCCCATCCCTTTCTGTTGGGCGCTGCCCCAGGGAGGGGCTGCCAGGCCTTGTGCTGGCGCCCGAAGCGGAGCGCGCGAGCGAGGCCTCGTGTCCGCAGTCGGGTCGAATTGCAGGCAGGGTAAGCTGACCTTGGCACTCTGCCTTTTGAACTTCCCAAGGCCAGCACCCCTTGAATCTCTCTCTCCGCGCATCTTCAGCCGCTCATGTGGGTATGCAGCCGCCCGCGGCTTCAATCGCAAGATCTGGCTGCTTTGGGAGGCATTTGCACAGACCCTCGAAACCCAAATTTGCACCGATGTCGTCGACGACCCTTCTGATCCTGGTGGCGTACCTGCTTCTTGGTCTCCAGGAAAGGTTCGCTGGGTGTTGTCGACGCCAGCCTCGGGCGGATCCAAGAACCCGCGGTCTTATGCAAGAGGACCCCCTGCGTGTGCCCAGGCTGCACGCTCGCATTTGGCACGTAACTACGGACGGGATGGAGACTCTTTGCATGAGAGCGTCATTTTCGTCCGTCTTTTTGCGGAACCCTTCAGGACCTCGGTAGCCAGAGACATGGCAAGTCGGCTTGATAGTGTCGCCACGGACGGCGATCGGGCTTAGATCCAGAACTTCTGTAGTGGCCCTCAGCGAGCTCAGGGCACACATCGAACGAACGACGGCGAGCTGGTGGACAGCGATCGCAGGGCTGACACTCGAGTGCGTCATTTGGAAGCGTTGCAGTGGGCTATGGAGCAGACGACTGCAATGCTGGAAGGCCCTGTGGTAGATTTAGGTCTTCCGGCCTAATTGAGCACCATCGCTGCACAGGAGGTGATGCGGGCAGCGCGCAAACTAAGGAACCGACGAGCGAAGGGCTTGGACGGATTGCTGGCAGAAATCTGATTCTCTTTTGATGGGAACGGTTGGCCAGCTCTCGAATGTGCCAGTTGATTTTGCAACATTGCTTGATCACGCACGACATTGCCAGACGCGTCGCGCAAATCACGTGTGACCATGATCTAGAAAAAAAGGGACCCCACGGCATGCGACAACTACCAGCCGATCAGCCTAGTGCCAACAGGGCACAAAGTCTTCGCAGCGTTCATGCTGAGGCCGCCGGCATCGGCCAATCAGCTTGTTGCTTCTTGGGCAATGGTCCTCGTGGCACAGGCTAAAGGACTCCAGGGCTGAGGATATGATATGGCCATCTCAATTTGGTATTTCGTTGACATCGCGGCACCTCGGATGCAATCTTTGCGGCCAGACGTTTGCTCGATAACGCGTTGGCCGCAGAAGTTGGGGCTCTGCAGATGCTGGCGCCTGTTTGGGCCAAAGAGTTCGCTTTCCTGCCGCCGAGCGCAACAGCGACGTCGCTGTCGCGCTTTGGCTGCCCAGCCGGGTCCTTCGACGCGGTGGCGGCGATCCCGTTGACCAGCGGCAGAGTCTCTCCATGTGCCAGGGGTGCCCGCTGTCCCCGTTGTTTTCCACCATCGTCATGGCGACGCTGTTGCAGGATCCGCGCGCGAAGATGTGCGAGAGGCTCTCTTTGGCACTCCTGCCGCGGTCTTCGCTCGGGAGTTGGTCTGCGCAGACGGCGCGCCTCTGCTGGGCTCACATCCTGGCGTCGTGCTGGAGATCATTTCGTTCGCGGTGGAGTGTGGCGAACATTGCGGGGTTTATCTGGGCCTAGGGTAAGGTCGAGATGATGAGAGTCCGCTTGGGCGCGCACGTGGTGAACGGCGTTGGTGGTGCCGTGATGGAAGAGGGGGCCTTCGCGCGCCTCGGTTCCCAGCTTTCGTTTGATAGATCCTGCGGCTTCGATCTGAGCGGGGGGACAGGCGCAGCTAAGCAAGGCGGTAAGCCACTGGTCTCGTCTCGGTGCCACGCAAAACTATCCAAGTGAAGGAAGGTGAAGGTTTGGACAGCGCGGGGTGCAAAACACTGTATTGGTATTTTGCTGCTTGTTTAAAAGCAGTCCGAGCGCAAAAGGCTGCTCGGCGTACTCCATGCTGAGTGTTAACAGAAGATATGCAGAATGCGGCTCTCGTGCTAGAGCCGCGCAGCCACCTGCGCCATTATGAGCGTGGACGGCATTGTTGTTATGCTTGTTGTTTTTCTTATTGTTGTACTTGCTGTTGTTGCTGCCGTCGTCGTCGTCGTCGTTGTTGTTGTGGTTGTAGTTCTTTTTGTTGCTGTTGCTGTTGTTGTTGTTGCTGCTGCTGTTGTTGTTGCTGCTGTTGTTGTTGCTGCTGCTGCTGCTGTTGCTGTTGCTGATGCTGCTGATGTTGGTGCTGCTTTTGTAGTTGTTGTTGTTGTTGTAATTGTTGTTGTTGTGGTTGTTGCTGTTGTTGTTGATGTTGTTGTTGTGGTTGTGGTTGTGGTTGTGGTTGTGGTTGTGGTTGTGGTGGTTGTGGTTGTGGTTGTGGTTGTGGTTGTGGTTGTGGTTGTGGTTGTGGTTGTGGTTGTTGTTGTGGTTGTGGTTGTGGTTGTGGTTGTGGTTGTGGTTGTGGTTATGGTTGTGGTTGTGGTTGTGGTTGTGGTTGTGGTTGTGGTTGTGGTTGTGGTTGTGGTTGTGGTTGTTGTTGTTGTTGTTGTTGTTGTTGTTGTTGTTGTTGTTGTTGTTGTTGTTGTTGTTGTTGTTGTTGTTGTTGAATGTTTATTACTCAACAATTATCATGGTTGGGCACTTTGAAGCCGCCCTGGCGCTCTCGCCGAGGCGCCGGCTACATTTTCATTGAAAATGAGGCTCACGCTCGAGCGGTTAGGGGGGCCGCCCAAACCGGCCCCCCAACAACAAGAACGCTCCCGCCGAAAGCCGCCGTCTGAACAAAACCAGCGTTCCCGCTTGAGATTTCCTCCCGTTTTACCTTGGACGGGCGCGCTAGTCTTTCTCTCATCGGCGCCGCCCCCAGCAAAAAAAACGCCCCCGCTCGAGGTTTCCACCCTTTTTTACTCAAGGCGGTGCTCCTCTTCGCCGCCGAAAACCGCCGCCCCGACAAAACC